TTTTAAAAAAAAAACAACCCTTCAACAAGAAGTTATAAATAAAGGCAAACTTTTTATAGTCAAGTGTAGAGGGGTTATAACTAGTGTCATTTGATTGATTGTCTGTGTCCCCATTAAAGGGCTTCACTCTGAATTGGAAGAAGGGCAGATTTTATATGCACTGGTGGACTGGTTTATCTTTGTGGGGTGGGGGGAGGTGATTGGGGCTAAATGGGGACACCTAAATCAACCAATAAATGACACTAGCCAGAGGAGCAAAAGAGCCAGATTTAAATAAACTAAAAAAAAAATAAATCGCCATAAAAATCATCCCTAACAAAGTGCATATACTCAAATTCATATTACACCTGCATGAAAAAATTAACTGATAAAGAATAAATATTACTAAAGCACACTAAGGGGGATAAGTCCCAATAAATGTGCCAAACCGATGTGCTTTTTTTAAATTATTCTTTATCATTATTTATTTTTCAATGCGGACAAAATATTAATTTGAGTATATGCACTTGAGTATATGCACTTTATAATGCAGATATTTTTAATTTGCTTAAAATATTTCTAGTGGTATTTTTATATAGGAGGGTTGTTATACATCAATTCCTATTAACTTTTTGGAGGTTCTAGGGAGATAGATCTATATATATGTATAGATCTATATATAGATCTATACACACACTGAATTGACTGTAGCCCTCATTTGCCCATGCACAATATCCGGGAAAAAACATTTCTTATAAATATTAAGATTCTTACTCCAGCCCTCCGAACAAGGTTTGAATAAAATCAGCATAGCCCTTCTGCAAATTTGCATTACTAAACATAAAAGACAGTCTTTGGAGAGGATTCAATATTGTGCGGCAATGTTCTGTTCTTTATAATTAAATTATAAAGTTTAATGCACCTTTATTTAATAATCAAGGTTAAAAAGCTAGTCCCAGTTCCAGCAGTGTAAAGAAACCAAGATGTTGGCAGTAAAAGGCTTCTCCACTTGCATACTCATGGTCAATAAAAATATGCATTGCATCAGTTTGGACAGATATCTCCTTGTAATGAACTCTATTAATTGCAGGTTGAATGTAGCTGAACCAAAATCATATTAAGAGTTGGCTTTTATTTTTATCCAGAGTGTTTAAGAATAGTTGTGTACACTGGCCAGCCATAAGGTTTAAAGCACATTTGAGACAAAACTGTTCAACTAGTGGTGAATCGAGCACAAGAGAAAAGATGGAACACCAGCTTAACCCCTTCGTGACGGGAGACGTACAGTGTACGTCTTGTCACTTTGTGCCTATATGACTGGCCACGTACACTGTACGTGACGAGTTATATCAGGCTTTGTAATGCCGGTATTTGCTGATTCTCAGCATTTAACAGTCATTCATTAATGTCTCAGTATTGAGGCATTAATTAATGAAATAATTAAGCTTTTTGTAAAAGCTTCTTCCTTTCATTAATGAAAGAATGAAGCCGTTACATGCAAATAGAGGACCGCAATTTGCGATCCCGTATTTGACAGCTCAAAATAGCAGAGAGGCAGCAGTGACTCACCTCACCTCTCTGCTATTTGTTTTGACAGTTCGAGAGCCCGATGTTTAGATACATTTCACTGAAAGAATACAATGTATCTCTTTTGAGTGAAATGTATCATTTCTGATCGTCTAGGCACGATCAAAGAGCTTTTAGTGAGATCTGAATCTGACTAAAGTCAGGATCAGTCTCTAAGGTTATTATTAGCTGTTCCTAAGTTTGGATCAGCCTAATAGCCAAAAATAAAATAAAAAAGTTAATTTATCAAGCTGTCATAGTGATTGCTTGATATAAACTGACAAGAAAAAAAAAACTTTTTTTTTTTTTTTTTTTTTACAAAGTGTAAAAAAATAAAAATAAAGTGTAAAACAAAAAATTTGGAAAATATTATATATAAATATATTTTTTATACTATAATTAATATAAAAAAATTCTAAAAAAAATAATAATAATCAAAACTTGTGAAAAAAGTGTTTTCTTCTAGTTTTTTTCCTAATTTTTTTATTTTATTCAAACTAAGTGAGGGGTTAGGTACACATATGTGATATAATTATAAGGCCCTATCTGTCCTCTAAAAAACAATATATAATATGTGTGGGTACATTTAGTAAGAAAGTATATTACTGCTGTGGAAGAATCACACAGCAAAAATGTAAAAAATGTGTCAGTCATTTATGAACAGAACCTGAAAACTAGCTCAGTCATGAAGGGGTTAAACCACATGCTCAGAAAACATATCTATTTGGTTCCTTTTTATTGAAGAACTGTTCTATCATCATATAGTAACAACTGTACATTCCAACATCTTTCGTAAACACTACAGGAATTAAAAACATATCAATATTTAACAGAAGACATTGTTGTATAGCCCCAATATTAAAAAACAAAAAAGATTTAAGTCTGCTTATATTTAATGTAATAATTTGCTAAACCTTTTATTTTCAAATACAACAAACGTACAGAAACTGTTATACATTTTTATGTGGTGCATACAACATTGCAACAGTCAAGATAAAAAAAAAAAAAAGGTTGCGTCTTGATGGGTTTATTTATTTTATTCTGAAAATTTTGTAGGATAACATGGTAGTCTGTAATAAGCCCAAACTAAAAAAGGAAAAAAAAGAGTTGTAGCACTATCCCTCCCCTTTGATTAACATTTCTGCTGGGGCTTCATTCAGCCCAGAGAAAAAATGGTCTCCGCAGAAGTTCTGCTCGTCTTTACATCTTGTTAGGGGAGAGAAGATCACATAACACTTGACATGATTCTCCACTGGCATCTGCAGAGTACCTTAAACCCTTTGTAAGTATGGCCTTCTTAGTAGCAGAATCATAAGCTCTTCTCAGATATCCACAAAGTAATGCTTGTTAACTTAGTGACCTAACAGGGGGCACAGGCATTGTTACATGGGATCTGGGGGTGGGTCCATGTTCTAACATTCATAAAGTCAGGCCTTGCATAGGCACTTGATGGGGCTCGAGGGTGCGCTGATGTTGAACATAATGTTAGTCTCAAAGAAAGTATTTTTTTATGGCATCATTGTTTACTTTTACATAATGATCTACTTTTTAATATTGTTACCTGCCATATAAGTTACTTTTCATAGTCGTTGAACATTGTAAGGCTTAATGTACAGACCTGATCACTTTTATTGTGAATATGGCAAACAAGTGTTCTTGGAACACATAATAAATCAAAGAGAATTAAATTTAGATTTATACGCAAATCCATTAAATTTCAAACATTCACTAAACTAGTTTAATAGTTGCACAGGACCCAGAAGGAAAGTGCATACATTAAATTGATGCTACAGATTTTGGAATAACATCTGAATTTTGATCTGTATTTTTCATCTTCAGAGTATAAAGGATTGTTCATTTAGACAAATGCAGCCTTAGTGGTCCTTTAATTAGGCGGGACAGGCTTTAAAAAGGGAAGATGGCTATTTTTATTCTAATTTTTCTACTGCTGGAAAATGTAAGCATATACTTAATTCCTGACTGGTACATTTTCCTAGAATAATTACTTTAGTCTGGTTAAATAGAAATAATGGGAAATCAATGCAATCACAGTAAAAAACACTTACAACACAACAATAATTCTGTTCTTTGCCGTTAAAGAGGAACTGAAATATAGAAGCTGAGCCCAAAAACAGGCAGGCAGAGGGCACAGGACTTGTCACCAATATTGTCTGTGGTTTCTCTGCAGCTGATCTATTCCCTATTGCTGGCATACTTTGCCTTGTTCTGCAGCATCTCTCTGTATGTAGGCAGCAATCTGATTAGAGGCAAGGCTTTGCTTCCTCACGTCAGAGCCTCCAGCAGGGAGAACAGAGAGCAGCACAGTAGTGACATCACCAAATCTTACTCTAAATCTCCTGAGACAAGTAGTCATAAGCGAGTGTGCCTTAGATATAACACTCTGGATATACAGGTATGAGGCTGTAGACACAGGAGTGCCAAGGCACCTTCACATACGAGCTAGCATGTAACTATTTTGTTTAGGAGAAATTCCAGAGAAAACAGTCAGTTTTTCATTACACTGTTTAGCCACATGCAACTTTCCTAACTGTTAACATAGCAAACTGTCACTTTTTTAGTTCAGTTCCAATTTAAGAAAAATAACCTATCCTTTTGGAAGCCAGTGGGTAACCATATGCAGATAGGGAGGGCCTTGTTGGTTAAAAAAAAAAAAAAAGGCAGCTGCAGAAGAAAAACAGTTTATCATAGTAAAGATATTAAAGTTTACTTTCTGGTAAATTAACATATGAGCAAGGCATAGTATATGAATGAGAGTTGAAAATTGTCTCACTAGAAACTGCATTTAAAATATCAAACCAAGAGTGATATGAAAGGGACACTAAACTCAGGAGTTACATTTTAAAAATGCATTCAAGTACCTTAACTATTAACAAAAAAATGTATCCTTTTTGTGTATCACTCAGCTGTAGATCTTCAAATCATCTCTGAACTCATGCTGACACTGTCCTTCCTTCTGGAGGGTGGCTACTTTTGTTCTCCATGGTCCCTGTGTGTTGTAAAGTGGACACTGCTGCAAGCTCGCTCCTGTGATGGACTACAATTTCACGTTTAATTCACTAATTTGTATTGAGATTATAGTCCATCACAGGAGTGAGCTTGGAGCAGTGACTACTTTACAATACACACAGGGACCATGGGGGAACAGAAGTAGCCACCCTCCAGAAGGAAGGAGTGTCAGCATGAATTCAGAGATGAATTGAGGATCTACAGCCGAGTGATAAAAAAAATGTATCTTATTTGTGTAATAGTTAGGGTACTTGAGTGCATTTTTAAGCTTTGAGTTTAGTGTCACTTTAAAACACAAATGAATAACAAAGTCAAAACCAAATAAAAAACAAAAATGTGGGTTTTATGCCATTTATAAAAACGAGGGCTGTGGCACTTCACTAGATTTTATATCCTTAAAATGTTTGGTCTAAACTTGGTGGCCTGGTGTTTAAAGCAAAGGCAAAGACATTTTCAATATACAGCAGAAAATTGTCCCTAGCACCCAGAAATATCCTTGGTTTTATTTTTTCTCAGGAAACGTGTGTCTACAGGATCAAAACCCCTCTCACTGGAACCAAATAGAGCCCACTTAGGTGTTTTTGCAACATAGTCCAAAGCAGTAAATGTCTCAGTCCCACCACCCTTCTCGTGTGAGAGAATCAATTCTTGGAATTTCTCATAATCGATCCAAGTCCACCATTCTCCATCAATCTTGAACTAGAACAGAAAAAAAGATCATAGGAATATGTACAAATAAATAAATAGAATAGCAGCATTAAAGGCTTCTATAAATTATTATTTAGCTATTATATTTCCACATTCATTAAAATCCAAGTGATTCACAAACGTAGATGAAGAGTCCTTCTATCTGTGCATATTCAGCACTCACAGACTGATTTCAGCAATATAATAAAAGTATAGTTTTTACCCCTTTCATTTCCATATACTCCTCCTCTAGGGTAAAGCAGTACTTACAACGGAGAGTGCCATAAAAACAGTTCTGACATGGTTACAATTAATAGATCAATATTTGCATCACCTGTATAAGAGAGTGTACCATTTAACATGTTAGCTTGCTTACATAATACATTTAACAGAATACTTGTCAACAGGAAGCAATTTTATCACCTTTCACAAACCAGAAAGCTGCACGCACAAAAATATATTTTAGTTATACACCAGGTCCTGCTTGCACAGTATATAAATAAGTATATGACAAAAATGTGGCACACGATTTAAAGAATAGACCCATTTTTAAATTTTCCTATTTATTAATTGTACCACTAATGGTGCAAGGTGACGTTACTTTTTTTCTTTAAAGAGAAGTGGGTATGTTGCGCTTGGTAAGTGAATCTATTTGGTTTTACTGTGAATAGTGAAAATAGTCACAGTATGGTTAGGTGGTGATTAGTCCAATGTGAAAAAATTATTCTGCAAATATGTGAAGTGAATATAAAGTGAAGGATAAGGTGAGTGATGTCTGTGAAATAATAAAAAGTGTGATGGCCTTTTAATAAAAATCCTAGTGAGTGATTGGTTCTTGTGTGTATCTCTTAAAATCTACAACTCCAAGGTTCCGTCTAAACGAAATAGTGAAAGCTAGTTGTATTCGGCCATAAGGGAAAGTGGGAATGTGCAAAAATATGAGCAAAAATATAATTTATAAACAAAAATATAAGCTCAAATATAAGCAAAAATATAATATAAACTCCCAATAAGTGCAAGTGTTCAATGTAGCACACAGTAGGCAATTAGATCGTTAGTTGCAGCCAACCTCAACTTGCCCAACAAGTTAGACTGGTGTAATCCCATACACAAAATCCGCAACAGTGGGGCGGAGCCACCCAAACCAACGCACCAATTGGACAAAGCATGCAAATGTATCCACTCAGTGAGCTGGTAAATAACCAAGGATGGATAATAGTGGAACGGAGCCACTCAGATTATCACAGTAAATACTTCCTATCTGAGCAGTTTTTTTATATATAATAATAAACCTTATAGGCATTCAATCCAGAGAACTGAAGAACAAACAGATTAAAGTCTCATCTCCAATCTGCTTCTGTCTTTATAAAAAAATAAAAAAGTTTCGGAAAAAGCAGTCAGCAGAAAAGTATATATAAATATAAAGTTAAAGGCTCATTTTTTTCTTCACTCCGTCACGGAGTCGCTGCAACAACTTTTTAAAGGCTTCTCCTCCGATTAACCCGTCCTTCACCGCTATAGCGGCTGAGCCAACCCACCCAGTGTAGTTGGACACGGGACCGAACAAATATTGTAATGAATGGGAAACAAAGGAAGAAAAAAGAAAAAGAGAATCCTAAGTGTATTATTTCAATGGGTTTATTTAAACGCAAAAAAATTTTCACACTTACAGGATTGTGGATATTTACAAGCAATTGAGTGTGAAGGGCACTCAGCCTAAAAGGTCATCCGATGTGAAGGAGAAGAATTTCCTTGACGTTTCGTCCCTCATGGACTTTTTCAAAAGGATTACTTTTTTTTCTATCCCTCCTCTGATGTCAATTTTTACCATGTGTACGGGGACTTCATTCTTATACAGAAAATATACTGCAAATTTTGTTTTGGTTTGTATTTGTCTTCCCTATCCCAGCAAAACTGCACTCATTCTCCGCAGGTATAGGGAGAGAGGGAACATACACTGCACATGTGCAGCTTTTAAACCAGGAAACACACTTGTTCCTGTGATGCTGGGGGCAAGGGCCAAATGTGTGTGTACAGTATTTTTTTCTTACCTTTAAGAATTTTGAAGAACACAAAGCCCAGCGCCACCAAATTAAAATAGGTAAATATAGAAGAGTGAGCAGAACCTCAACAACTGTTCCATCCCACAGATACTATTGCGCTCACCCGCCGCATCCACGGCCTTCATCCCCCAAATAGGGAATCCAGTATGAGCCCAAGGGACGGTGCAGTGCTCCGCGCGAGGACCAACACCCCTACGCTGCCGCCGACTGTCACCTCTCCCCCTACCGACCGGTAAGTGCCCGATATGCTCCTAGGCATCTGGGACCCTGGGCTCCTCAGCCTCCCCGTACCTCCATGCTGCCCCTGTTGTTGCCAGACTGATGTCCACAATAGGGGCACTGCACACTCCAGGTCATCACACCTTGCCACTGCTGTACACCCGGGGGGGGCCACCATCTGGCGCCTACTCACGTGCAGGAGGATGGTTGCCTTCCCTGAGTGACGGAAGGGAACCTTGGCCAAGAATCGGGTGGGGGTCCGATAGGGAATCCCTGTATGCACTGCAGCAGGTAACCCTGGAGTAGGTCCCAATGCATAGTAGGGTGAGGCTCAGCCCTAAGGCAAACAAACATGAGCCCTTTAAAATAACAAACATTATGATGTCCCTGTGTAGCCGACGGAAACACAAAAAAACTGACTTGGGATGGAAGGAGGAGTCTATTTATTTAATGTGGTTGATGTGTTTCCTGTTGCAGGCAGGCGGAGCCTATATCTCGATGGCTGTCCTGGAAGATGACTGGGGAAACTATGACTTCAGACTTTTCACTAAAGGTGAGCAGTGGACAACAGACTGACCTTTTCAATTATCAGCATCAACTTTAATGGTATTGCCCTATTATGTGTGTTGCAGTTGTTTTGCTCCCAAGAAACACAGGTTTGAAAAGAGACAATTCAGGTTTTATTTAGCAAAAGAATGCAAGGAGCAAAGTGCCAAGGGGGAGTCCAATACCCACAGTAGCAAACCAGAATTTGTCTTGCACAGTTGAAAGTAATTCTAAATTACATAGCTTTGTGAGTTATGCTCCTTTCATTGTTTCCTGCATAAGGCTGATTAGGTTTATAAATAAGCCTAAAGAGTTTTCTGTATTTTGAAGAGATGCAATAAAAAAAAAAAAAAGGTATAGAACATTATAATCTACTAAAAAAAAATAATACTAAAACTTCCCATCTAAAACCAAATATTATTTTTGGTACAACTGTTAAAAGGAAAAAAAAAATGTACATTGCCCAGTATTTGCTCTGGCATGAGAAGTGAAGACAATTAATCGGCAGGCACTGGGAAATAACTACATTATGAATTAGGTTTCATGAGCTCTGCACTGAGAAGCACAGCTTCTGGATGCTCAAAGCTGCAAGTTCTATAACAAGCTGAAGAGGGACTCAGGCTTTTAGAACAGTTCACCTCAATTCAGACCAAATCATCCATTCCATAATACTGATAGTTAAATCATTTCCAATGAAAGCCATAAGAACATCACCCTACAAGCACAACTGAAACGTTAAGACGATGCAGGGGATTTTCTTATGGCTTTCATTGGAAATGATTTATCAGCATAAAGTGACACTAAACTCAAGAGTTAAATCTTAAAAATGCATTCTAGTACAACTTTTTAACAAAAATGTATCTTAATTATTTGTGTATCACTCTGCTATAGATCATCAAATCTTTGAATTGGTGCTGACACTGCCCTTCCTTCTGGAGGGTGGATACTTTTGTTCCCCATGGTCCCTTTGTGTATCTTGTGAAGTAGCCACCGCTCCAAGCTCGCTCCCAGGATGGATTGAAGCAAATTAGTACAGATGCACCATCATCGATACAGGCACTTTAAATTTTTAAACGGGAGCGGCTGCCATGAGGTCCCAGACTTGCTGGGGACCTCAGGGCAGCTGTCTTTTACAGCGCCGTTCTGGCTGTACATCCCTTCCTCCTTCCTTCCTGCCAGCCACATGCAGGCATGGCGAGATCCGCACCCGCCCGTACAGCCCTGGTTAGACTCCCGTTACGGCCTCCTGAGATGCCGCACAGCCCTAGTGACCAACAGAGTATGTACCTTCATATTATTCATACATAATTTAACAAGGACACATTTCATAAAATATTCGAAAAGAAGGCCAAAGAGTGGCACCGGTGCTACAAACTAAATACAATGAAAGGAACAGTGTGTGCATACACACAGAGGGGAATTTATTAAAACTAAAGCAGACAAAATATGGAGCAGTCGCCCATGGCAACCAATCAGATTTTCTCTATCGTTTTCAAAACTTAAACTAAAGAGAGATGGAAATTGGTTGTCACCAGCAACTACAGTTTTCGTCTGCTCCAGTTTTGATCAATTCCCCCTATTGTATGTAGAAACCAAAATGTGTCAGGGTGTTAGCTGAGACCCATTCTGTAGATGCTGATTCACCTCCGAATACCTCAGATTTAATAAGCCGACCCTGGGACTATTCTTCTTTTTCATTATGTGACCATGGCCCTCGCAGGGGAGGTAGTGAGGACTGGGTACACATATGTCTCATTGCTGCAAGGCGCTGCGTGATGCGGCACTGGAACTAATAATTCGGTTTCATAGGGAAAGGTTGGAGGCGGAGCAACAAAGGGATCGACAGACTCGGTTCTTCTTCCGCAGATGGAAGAATTTTTTTAGTACAATGTTTAGTGCTCAGGAAATCACCCGACTAATGAAACCTTTTGAGTATACCACATGGTACCTTAAGGCAAAGCTTACGAATTACCTGGGGGTCCTGGAGCTTCCTACTGTTAACTAACAGCATACCTGTTTTCGAGTAATGGGGTAATGGAGGCGGAGCTTTGTAACTCTGTTAAGGGGGGCGACCAGCACATGGGGGATAGGGGGTGGGGGGGTTTGTATATGTTGGTCCTAGGAAATGGGCCTATTGTATTTGGTATATTGTTTTGAATATATGTGTCTCTTTGTGCATAATTG